ACATATTTTGCTGATCCTTTGGATCCAGGAAGAACTGTTATTGCCGACAATTCAATATATATTATTTTAGCATCTCACTTAAAAATAAAAAAATGATAAACTGACGCAGCATGTGCATTTTTAGTTGCCTAATATAGTCATTAAGCAAACAAGTAAATGTAATTAATAATACTTTAAGGATTCTTGACATTAACAAAGGCGGCATAAAATACCGATGGCACATACGCCAGAAAATTTTGGATATTCAAGTGTGGTAATGGTTAGCCAATCGTTCGCCGGACGTAGCTGGCAACTTCTTCACGTAAACTAGCTTTATCCAAACTCCAGTTGCAAGAAAATTTATATCTGCTTTCTGGTGGACTTTGTGTTCATTTTACCACTTACCGTCCTAATACAATCCTCCAAGTTGGTAAAGCTGAGGTGTATTTTTAGCGAACCAGTGATAAGCTAACTTTTTGGAAAACACTCTCTGAGTCGCAACGATGATATTACAACTAGAAAATACAAATCTCATTTCCATTAAGAGATAGATAAGTTAGACAAGGCGATGTAATATCTGCTAATCTTTTTAATCTAGCCCTATAAGACGTCTTGAAAACTAAAAAGTGGTCAACATACGGCATTAACGTTATTGTTAACAAGTTAAGACGCCTCAGATTTATTTACATTATCGTGATTATAGCGAGCACATTCAAAAAATTTCAAATTATGATGAAGGAACTCGCAGACAGCTCCCCGTACGTCGGTCTTAAAAGGAATATTACAAAAATAAAAACAATGACAAACACAGACGATCCTAGACGTATGGCAGTGAGATAAAACAAGTCCAAGAATATATCAAGCTAGGCGAAATTCTTATACTTGATAAAGAGAACTAAAGTACGTAAATCACTATAAGAGCAAGACTCAAATGGGCAGGATTTTTGAAACACAGGATTCGCAAAAAATCTCAATACTTGAGAAGCAAAGTGTTTAACCAGTGCATCCTTCCTATCATGATATACGGATGTCAAACCTGGACCCTAACGAAGGCAAATATGAATAAACTAGCCACATCAGAAAAGCAATGGAAAAAGCAATATTAGGTATACGACTGTCAGATGAAAAGGGAAGCAACTGAGTAAGACAAAAAACAAAAGTTAAGGATTTTTTTAGAATTTTGGCCGAAATTTTGGCCGTTTTTGACACAAGATAATACAAGATAATACTTCTGGCTAACCGAAAATATAATCGTAAATGCGGTCCTGTTAAAGGTGTACACGTGCTAATGTTTATACTTAAAATAAATGAAATTTAGTATAGTTTTTAATTGATATACTTTTTAAATTATAGTTTGTAATAAATCGTAAGAAGGTATCTACCGTATTTAAATTACGCTTTGATTCGTCAGTTTTTTTATGTTTCTTTACCGCAAGACAAGATGAATAAATCAAGAGGTTTGTTTATAATCTATAGGTATTAATTTAAACAAAACAGATTATATCGTAACCATAATATGTAAATTACCTTCTCACTTGGGCGTGAATATGTTCGTTGTTATTATAATTTTAATAAATATGGTTATATTCTGTTAAGCAAAAACCGTTGGATTTAATAAATATTTGCAAAGTGCCAGGAAGGAGTTGAATGTCAAGATCTAGTTTTGGGTGTAACGTTTTAGTCCAGAAGCTGATGTTCGTGAAAAGCATCCGAAATCTCGTTAATAAACTTTAAAACGGTGTATTTAATTTGCCACTTAAATGAGTTTAATATACACTTTTAGTGATGTTTCATCGGTTCTAATCGGTTCATTAACGCTCTGAGTGATAATAATCTTTATTGGCCTCATTAGACAGCGTTTTATTTGAATTAATATTTATAAGTTGAAATTATCTTGCGATAATAATTGTGCCTTTTAAATAATTAACTTCTCTTTAACTTTCATAAGAATAAACATAATATTAATATAAACAGATAGGTATAGGTAATTTGATTTTTGTTATTTTACCAAACTTTGTACAGTTTATAGAAAAACGACAGAGTTTAAAAGTGGATAGAAAAGTATGGCAGTATTAATAAGCTTTTCAAAAATTGAGAAAAATTTTGAAAATGTAACGTGGACACGCCACGAAAGGAGATATTATCGGAATATGTTTAACATACTATTTAGAAATGAAGAAGCTCAACAAACCCATGGTTCTTTACCTGTGCGTCATCATTTAAAAAATACGCAATAAGTCGGAAAGTTACTTCAAGCAACATCAAGTGACAGAAAATGGCTACGGTTCCAATCGCTGATTGTATTGTAAAATTTGACGTAATCAAATAAATAAAATGCAAAATGTTAGTTTTGCTTTGAAATTTTGTTAAAAAATTACAGCTCCATTTGAATATTAAATTCTTTGAATATCACAATACTGTAATATTTAAAAGTAACAATATTTAAAGAATGATACATTCTTCTTCTTCTTTTGGCATCAAACCCTGGATGGGTCTTTGCCTGTCTGGCTATGTCCTTTCATTCAAATCTCTCTTGTGCCCTTCTTCTCCATTGTCTTATGTTCATTGTTTTCAGGTCGTCTTCCACGTCATCCAACCATCTCGTTCTGGGCCTTCCTTTTTTTCGCCTTCCTATGGGCTTCCATTGTAACATTTTCTTTGTTGTTTTTGCATCGTTTTGTCTCTGCACATGTCCCAGCCATGACAGTCTTTGACTTTTCACAAATCTTATAATGTCATGACCTTCATTTAACTCATTAACCTCGTCGTTTCTCATGATTCTCCATGTGCCATCTTCCTCTTGTACCGGGCCATATACTTTCCTCAGTATTTTTCTCTCGAATGTCCTGAGTTGGGCTTCATCTTTTTTCGTCATTACCCAAGTTTCACATCCATAGGTTACTACGAGTCTAATCAGTGTTCTGTAGATAGTCATTTTGGTTCTTTTAAAGGCATCCACTCGTTCGATAGTATAGTTGTCTATTGTGATATTATTTTCATTGTCAGTTATTCTTTTGACTGTCATATACTTCGTTTTTGCTTCGTTTATTTTGAGACCTCTTTTACTTGCTTCAGGATCAATTTGTTTGAACACTTCCATTAGTCGTGGCTTATTCCTACTAATGATGGCCACATCGTCTGCATATGCAGTAATTTGTACTGATTTGGTGTTTATATGGCCGGTTATATTGGTTTTTCTGATGACTGCCTCAAGAACTAGGTTGAATAGCATGGTTGATAGGGCATCTCCCTGTCTTACTCTCATGTTAATGTTAAACAGGGGAGTCTGTTCTCCATCTACTCTGGCTGCGGCTTTTGAACCCTGCAACGTCATTTTTATGAGGCTGATGTATTTCTCAGGTATACCTAGATTACAAAGGTCTTCCAGCATTCTGTCTGTTTTCATTCTATCAAAAGCTTGTTTAAAGTCTATATACATATTATATATGTCTATGTCGTTTTCATAAGCTTTTTCTTGTATCGTTCTTAGTATGAATATGTTATTTGTAGTGTCTCTATTTGGTCTGAATCCATTTTGATAATCACCAATTATATTTTCGGAGTATTCTAATAATCTATTGTAGATTATACCAGAAAGAATTTTGTATATTACATTTAGCAATATAATTGACCTATAATTCTGGCATTCCCTCTTATCTCCTTTTTTATATATTGGCTGTATGAGGCCAACTGTCCATTCATCTGGCATTTGCTCCTTCGTCCATATTAATGTTATTAGGTAATGGATTCTTTCCCAGAGTTCGGATCCTACATTCTTTAATAATTCTGCCAAAATTGCGTCAGTTCCTGGTGCTTTATTATTTTTTAGTTTATTTATTATCTGAACTACTTCTTCATAACTCGGATTTTCGATGTGCAGCTCCGCCGTATAACATATTGTCTCGTTCTGATCATTTTCGTTGTCTGCATTTAGATTTTCTTCGAAATCTTGTTTCCATCTCATTATAATTTTTTGCTTCTCTGTTAGTAGTTCTCCGTCCTTGTCTTTGCATATCGTTAGTTTTGGTCTAAATGACTGTGTGCTTTCTTTTATGCATTTATAGAATTTTCTTCCTTCGCGTCTGTTGTTATACTTTACGATTTCTTGTACTTGTTTTTTCATAGCCTCTCTTTTCTTTCTTCTGCATATTCTAGTCGCTTCTATTCTTTTTTCATTATAAATCTCACTGCTATTTCTTGTATTTCGTTGAAGTTGGTTAAGCCTAGCTTGCCTTTTTTCCTTTACTGCAGTTCTGCATTCATCATCATACCATTCCTCATTTCTTTGCCTTTTGGCTTTTCCGACAGTTTCCACTGCTGACTCCGTTATAATTGTTTTTAATTATCCCCATTCCTCCTCTGCAGTATCTTCCTCTCTAGTTCGGTTGAGTTTTATTTGGAGAGCATTTCTGTAATCTTGTCTCTTTGTTGCGCTTTTGAATCCTTGGACATTCCATTTTTTGATTTCAATATTTTTCCCTTTTGCTACTGTCGCTATTTTCTGCCGTAATTTTGCCCCTACAAGATAGTGATCTGAGTCAGAGTTCGCCCCGCGATACGTTCTGATATTAGTTATGTCTGTTGTCCATCTCAATTTGATTTGCTTCGTTAGTTCCAGGTATTTTCCATGTTCCTTTATGGATATCTTTTCTCTGGAAGTTAGTACTGACAACTACGTAATTATTTGCTGCTGCAAACTGTGCCACCCTGAGTCCATTTTGACTGGTTTCAGTGTGCAAACTGTGTTTCCCAAATAAATGATACATTATAGAGCTCAAATATTATTGTTGCAAGATTTTCAACGTATCTTTTTCGTTTCTCATACTTAATTTTCATTACTTTCAAAATCTGAACTGTTATTAGTTATTCAGTTATTTTTTCAAAGATTGGAATCCTTGCTTGAACAAATTCCACAAAATGCTTTTGTTATTTTGACAGGTGACTTTAATATTGATTATGTGGATTCATCACACAGTTATGTTATTACCATTACAAATTCACTTAATAATTTTAATATGAGAATGCTGGTTACCGATCCAACCAGAGATAACAGCATATTGGATTATATTTGTACTAATTTACGTCCAGATATAGCTGTGTGCAAAGTTATTCCCTATTTTTTATCAGAACATGATCTCATTTTATGTGAATTTCCCCTTAAGAATCCACCTTATACGGTCAGATGGAGTAGGATTTTCAGCAAAAGTAATTTTGACAGGTTTATCAAATTATGTAATCAGGAAGATTGGAGTAGTATTTTTTGCTCTCCTGATTTGCTTCATCAATTTCGTCACACTCTCATGAAGATTTAGCGTTTTAGAAAAGAGTTCTTAGATCGTTAAATTACAATAAAAAACATATAATATGCAATAATGAATTTTTGATATATTTCTATAAATATAGGTCCATACATATTACATAACTACTGACATAGTCTAAGACCCTAGTGACCTGAATAAATATTACTGCTCTGTAGGTTCAGGACTCGCTGGAAACATTAATTCTTCTTCTGATCCAATGCATTTTTTAAATGGAATAAACATTACAAATTTGTTTTACTTTCTTCCCACTAACTAGGCTGAAATAAAAAATATACAAGACATAAAAATCCCATGGCTGCAGGCTGGGATGATACCCATGTAAAGTTTTATCCCGTCTTCCTGATAATGATCTAAGAATTTTAGTGGAAGCAATTAATGGCAAAACAAGGACTCTATGGTATTAAACAAGATTATTAGTAGTGATATGCAAAAAAATTTAGTGGTGCAAAGCTAATCATTTGACATTTAATTTTTCAAAAACCAAATTAATTTCTTTTAAGAATGACCTAAACAACATTACCCTTGGCACTTAAGGCATTTGTTCTGATACCATAAACAAATTTTTAGGTCTCTATATTAATAATAAACTTAAATTTGAGCAACACACTGTATATTTAAGCAAAAAGATATCATCGGGTTGCTTTGCGGTCAAATCAGTTGCTCACCGTTTAGATTTCAAGATTGCAAAAAGTGTTTATGTGACCCTGATTGAATCTAATGTGAGATACGGTAAGGCCTTTTGAGGTATCATTTTTCTCTTTATAATTTCAGTAGAAATTTTATGCTACAAAAGAGAGCACTCAGATATTTATGCAAGGTTAAGTTTGATACATTATGCAGGCCTCTGTTCCGGAAACAGACTAGAGACGTCCTTGCATATATATCCTTGAATTAGCGTGCTTAATTTTTAAAAATCATAAACAAATAAGAACTAAAAAATCATTTATTTACACTGGTAAGAAAGGGTTTTAATCACCTATCACTCGATATAACATCCTCAAGCAATATTTTTGTATTCCGAAGAGCAATCAAGAAGTTTTTATTATTTAAATGTTACTATAGTATTGTTGAGTTTGTATAGTTCTAATTTATTTGTCTTTATTCTAATTTATTGTCTATAATCTAATTTATTAAAACTCACGATAGCTAATTACTAATTTATTAAATAACTTTACAAATGTATTTATTTCACGTTTCGTTACATTTAAATACCGCGTTTACCGATCTTCTTATGACTGCCTCAAATACAAAAATCTTTCATTTATATACACAACTGTTGTCATCTGGCAAACTTCCTGAATAATCTCGTATTTTGGTGAAGGCGCTCGACTCGTTTTTCAACCTCGAGACGTGGATGACTCACTAAAATTAGTGTCTAGAGATTTCTGTAAACAACTGGTAGCGAAGCTCAGGTATATTTTGACCTACAAATTACGAGAATCAATAAAAAAGAATTAGTCATAAAATATTTACAGTTCTATATGCCATAACATTTAAAATCGTAACATTGCCCCCCTCTTAAAAGATGGTTCCTCCTGGAACCTTGTCGGGACTGGAACTTGAACGACATGCTGATACCGGCAACTGGACCTTACAACTTCCAGTTGTATAGAAATGACAAGGGACGGTTTTCTCTCCGCAGCAGTAACTATGCGGATTGCAACAGACTAACACCTGGACTTCGGTGTCTTTAAAGATTTCCTCCACCATATTTCGTATAACCCTCCAATCTAATTGGCGGCACTCCAACTTTGGCATGGCTAACTTTTGCACGTCGGACTCTAGTACGTGCTCTCTCAACTGAAGTAAGGCTTCCCATACATCTCGGTAGGTAGGTTGGTCACGGGCAGTGTCTTTTGTTACCAGGTAGAAAAGGTAACGTGATGCATCTTGAAGTTTCAAGGTTTTACCAGGAGCTGGCACTTGGCATTGAAGTTCTGCAACTCGACCAAACTTCCTTCGAAAGACGGATGCCAACCCTGGTGCATCTTTGATACTGGCCGGGATGGTAAGGGCCAGTGAGTAGTCATCGGGAAGCGCGAGTAGATCTTGCCTTTCTTCAGTGGTAACACCATGTCTTGCTTTACCGGTACCTCCATAGGCACCCATGAATTCCTCAAACGTGAGGTCAGACACATCTTGGACTTGGTTTACTTCCACTTCTTCATCTACGTCGTGGTCACCCTCGAAAGACGCCAACCGGTTATGGTGTACTATCATCGGCTTTCCTCTCGGGATCTTGCTTATTCGGTAAATAACATCATTGATCTTCTCCATAATGAGGTATGGACCTTCCCAAAACTGCTGCAATTTGGGAGAACAACCTTTTCGCTTTTTGGGGTTATAAAGCCAGACTTTATCGTTCTTCTTAAAACACCCCTTTTCGGCTTGTGTATCGTACCGTTTCTTCATTCGGTCACTAGCGATTTGGAGATGGGAACGGACCAACTCGTGTACATCGTCCATTCTTCTTCGTAATTCGATCACATAATCTTCACCTGCTACATCTTCTCCAGGTCGACACCCAAACTCTAGATCACAAGGTAGTCGCATCTCACGTCCGAATAGGACTCTGGCTGGTGTCTGGCCTGTTGATTCATTAACAGCAGATCTGTAGGCCATTGTGAAGAACGGAAGATATTGGTCCCAGTCTCGCTGATGATCGGACACCATCTTTGTCAAATACTTGCCAACTGTTCTATTCATTCGTTCTACCATACCATCCGATTGCGGATGATAAGCCGTAGTTCTTGTTTTCTTCATACCTAGTCTATCACATATTCCTTGGAATAAATCGCTTTCGAAGTTCCTGCCTTGGTCACTATGGATCTCCAAAGGCACTCCAAATCGGCTGATATATTCTTGGATCAACTTATCTGCAACGGTGGCCGCCTTCTGGTCTGGAAGTGCGTAAATCTCGACCCACTTAGTGAAGTAATCCATTACTACCAACATGTACTTGCCTCCATTATCACGTTCTGGAAATGGCCCAGCAATGTCCAAAGCTATTCTTTCAAACGGGCTTCCAACATTATATTGTCTCATAGGAGCTCTCCTTTTTCGATAAGGCCCGTTACTCGTAGCACAAATAGTACATTTCTTACACCAGTCTTTTACATCGTCGGAACTGTTCATCCAATAAAACCGTTCCAGAATTCGCTGAAGGGTCTTCTTCACACCAAAATGCCCTCCTGATGGACTGTCGTGTAACTGACGAAGTACTTCGGCTATTCTGCTCTTTGGAATCACCAACTGTCTTCTCTTCTCTGAACCGTCATCATTTTCCAGGACTCGTTTGAGCAAGCCATCTTCCATGATAAATGAGTCCCACTGGGCCCAATACGTCTTAACTATTGAGCCTAGGTTCGATATTTCTTGCCAAGGTGGTCGACGGTTTTCTTCTTTCCATTTTCGGATTTTCTGTATAATTGGATCTCTCTCTTGTTCTTCCCTGATCTTGGTAGGCGTCCAGTCGTCGTGGACCACCGTCGTTCTTAGCACTGCTGCTTCCTTGGATTCCGTTTTGTTGCAGTGAGAACACTCTGCTGGGCATGGCCTTCTGGAAAGAGAATCAGCGTTTCGGTGGCTAACTCCGGCCCGGTGCTCAATCTTAAAATCATATTCTTGGAGTCGTTCGATCCACCTGGCTATCTGACCCTCTGGATTCTTAAACTGCATCAACCACTTAAGGGCGGCATGGTCGGTTCGGATTAAAAATTTCCTTCCATAGAGGTATTGATAGAAGTGCTCTACTGATTTTACTACTGCCAGAAGTTCTCTTCTCGTGACGCAATAATTCCGCTCAGGTTTTGAGAGAACTTTACTGAAATATCCAAGGACTCTTTCCTGTCCTCCCTGAATCTGAGACAGCACTCCTCCAATTCCCACATTACTTGCATCTGTATCTAAGATGAACTCTCCTTCTGGCAGTGGATACCCTAAAATTGGTGCTGTGATTAAATGCTTTTTTAAGGTCTCAAAGGCATTTTGGCAGTCTACATCCCAGCGGTATTCTCTTGCTTCCTCTGTAAGTCGCGTTAATGGTTTAGCGATATCTGCAAACTTCTTAATAAACCTCCGGTAATAAGTACATAGTCCAAGAAAACTTCTCACTTGATGTTTGTCAGTTGGTTTTGGCCATTCCTTAATGGAATCGATTTTTCCCTTATCCACGGCCACTTCTTCTTTACTGACTATATGACCCAGATAATTGACTTTACCTTGAAATAGCTGGCACTTCTTGGGGTTTAACATCAATTGGGCAGCTTTAAGTCGATTAAAAACGTTTTCTAAATTCTTCAGATGGTCCTCAAATGTCTCCCCCAAGACGATTATGTCGTCTAGATAAACTAGGCATGTTTTCCAAGATAACCCTCTCAACACATTTTCCATAAGCCTCTCAAATGTCGCAGGAGCGTTACAAAGTCCAAATGGCATAACGTTGAATTGCCATAATCCAGATCCTGTGGTGAAGGCTGTCTTTTCTTTATCTACCGGGTCCATTTCTACCTGCCAGTATCCAGACTTCAAGTCCAAAGTAGAAAATAATTTACTTCCAGCCAATGTGTCTAATGTGTCATCGATCCGAGGCAGAGGATAACTATCTTTCTTGGTAACGTTGTTCAGCAAACGGTAATCCACACAGAACCTCGTTGTTCCGTCTTTCTTCTTAACCAGGACCACCGGAGAGACCCATGGGCTCGTAGAAGGTTCTATCACCCCGTCTTTCTTTATTTCCTGAACAATCGTTTCAGCTTCCCCTCTTTTCGCCTGTGGTAATCGTCGAGCTGTTTGACGAATTGGCTTAGCATTACCAGTATCAATTTTATGCTTAACAACGGTAGTTCTTCCCGTCTTTCCTCCTTTCGGTACGAAAATATCACGATACTGCGGAAGA